TTCAATGGCACCTAACAACAACAGCAACAACAATGAACACAGTTTTTTAAAAGTCTCTCTGCCAAATGATACACATATTCTTCAATAATTAATACCCTTTATGTAGCACTGTAGGATAAGCACTGGAACACAAGGTCAGTTTGAACCACAAGGTCGGTAGTTCAAACTGACCAGTTGCTCTTTGAAAACCCTATACAGGGTCACTGTGAGTCAGAACCAATTTGAGAGTACTTAATAACAACTTAACAAACATGCTTGTAAAGAATCCCTGGGTGGTACAAAATGTAAAGTACTTGGCTGTTAACCAAAACTTCGTTGGCCCAGAGATTCTTGAAAGAGTGGACTAGTGATCTACTTAGAAAAGATCAAGAACAAAAGCCCAAACCTATTGTCTTTGACTTGATTTTCTTGCATGTAATCTTTGAGGAAGAGGATCACCAAGGTACTGCATGGTAGGTTTGAACTTCCAACTTTGAGTTTGAAACCTAGAGCAAACTATTTGTGCCACCAAGCAATCTTTCTGAAAGATGAGAGTCATAGAAAACACTATAGAATGCAGTTCTACTCTGTTACACATGGGGTGACTGTGAGTTAGAACTGATGATTGCAACTGACTTGGTGAGATTTTGTTTGTTTGTTTTGTTTATGTGTTTATAGATGATCCACATTTGTAGTGTTCTGTTTCCTTGACTTATGATACCAGTTATTCCATTTTCTTCTTAAATCAAATTGCTACTTTTTCCTTTTTAATCTGCTAATATGATGAAATGGGAGCAGGTGGCTCTGTAGGATAAGCACTAGACTGTGAAATACAATATCAGTGTATTATTGTTTTATCTGCAGGATAAAGATGACATTTCTGTTTCCCAAAAAGATTTACAGCCCCAGAAACCCTATACAGGGACACTATGTGTTAGCACTAAGCTAATTGCACTTAACCCCAACAATAATGTGTCATATCTGAGTACTAAATCAGTGCTGTGTGGGATGAAACCCACTGGATTGGGCTACGTGATCCTGTGTTACATATCGATGGATTCTATTTGCTAACGTTTTAACGATTTTTGATCTATGTTATAGATGGATATTGGTCTAGTTTTCTTTGCTCACAAAGTCTTTGTCTGGTTTTGTATCAAGGTAACTGAATTCATAAAATGAGTTGGGAAGTATTTATGCCTTTTCTATTCTCTGGGAGAGATTTATAGAATTCATATTATTTCTTTGTTAAATGTTCGGCAAAATGTGCCTGTAAAACTACCCAGGACTGGAGTTTACTTTTTACTTTCTACTGTAAAGATTTTAAATTATGGATCCAATCTCTTCAGTAGATAACAGGAAAATTTAAATTATGCATTTCTCTTTAAGTGAGTATTGTTGGTTTTCATCTTTTAGGGAAGTTGTACATTTCATCTAAATTGTTCAATATATGATTATAGAGTTGATTATAACATTCTTAACTATAATTTAAATTTTATTAGGGCCCATGGCTATAATCTCTCTCTTGTTCCTGATATTGGCAATTTGCATTTTCTCTCTCTTTTTAAAAGTGAATTTCACTAGAGACTTACCAATTTTATTGATCATTTAAAAGAACCATTTTTGTTTCATTGATTTTTCTCTATTTTTTACTAGTTATGATTTGACTGATTTTTCCTCTTTAGATTTCCTTCATTCCATTTGCCTTGGATCATACTTGTTCTTTATTCCTAGGTTCCTAAAGTGTCAACTGAATTATTGATTTGAAAACGTTCTCCTTTTCTAATATTTAATGTCATAAATTGTTCCATCTAATAACTTGTTTAGCTGTATTTTGCAAATTTTA